AAATATATATATAGGAGAAGGGCTTTAAAAGATGCAGGGAGGGGCAAGGAGAGGAGAGATTTTTAAGAAATGGTCATGTACAGGTACTCCCTGATGAAATGTAATCATGTACTAAAAACATGTACTAATAAAAGTAAGTAAATTATATACAAATATATATTAAAAATTAAGCACAGTGTATCTGATTCTCAAGTCTTCATTTTTTAAATTGGTGTGCAGTTTGCTGACATCGGGTACATGGGTTTCAGATAGCAAGCTCCAGATTTTTGTATGTGTGTAAACCCATGTAACCACCATGGATGTTACTACTTACCCCAAGAGGTCCCTCACATTCCTCCCCAGTGGGTGTCCCCACCTGCCCCATCTCACTATTTCCATTTATTTTACTGACCCCCATCACTGTGCATTAAGCTTCCTTGTTCTGGAGCTCCATGCGAATGGACTCATGAAATATGTCATCTGGCTCTTTTGGTTCAGCATTGTTTTTGAAATTCACCCATGTAGTCACAAGTGTCAGTAGTTTGTTCATACTTTTGTTCCACATTTTTTTGTCTGTTCTTCTGTCAGGACATTTAGGTTATTTCCAGTTTAGGTCTATTATAGTCGAGTGCTTTACCTGTCTTTATGGTCTGTTCTTTCATTTCTCTTTTTTTGGGGGGTACCAGGAATTGAGCCCAGGGCCTTGCCCTTGCCAGGCAAGTGCTATACTGCTTGCTGAGCTACCTCCCCGGCTCCTATTTTCATTTCTGTTTGAGTCCTTCTGAGAGCTGGGCATAGGAAGAGAATATATTTAACATCTACTAATAAATTCCCAGGTACTTTTCTTGAGTACTTGTACAGTTTTGTACCCTCTCCAGCTACATGTGAGAGTTCTGGTTACTCCACCTCCTCATCCACACTTGGAATTGTAAGTCTCTATAATTTTAGTGTAGAATCATTTTCTACTGTAAAAAAAAAAAAAAAAAAAAAAACCAACTGCCTAAAGCATCAATGTCAAGACCCTTCAGACTTTGGATGCTACATTTTTGGTGTATGAGAAATGCCTACCAGTACAACACAGGCTAACAAAAAATCTAGCAGGGGCACCCAGTTCAGCATCCTAATGATGAGACCCCCTTAGTCACATCTTACCAGATTCAGTCAGCCTCAGGACTATAGTTGGGAGTCTCTCTATCTACTGTATTAATGGGCTTTTTTTGAGAAATGTGTCTTATTTCCTTGCAGTTCTCCTGTTACATTAAAATGTATGTTGAACATATTTACTTGTAATTTAAAATAATTTCTTTTTTGTTGTTGTCTTTTTGAGACAGAGTCTCACTATGTAGTTCAGGCTGGCCTTGAGCTCACTTTGTAGCCCAGGCTGGTCTCGAACTTGCAGCGATCCTCCTGCTTCAGCCTACCGTGTGCTGGAATTACAGGCATGTGCCACCATACCCAGCTATTAAAATAATATCCTTTGTGTGTACATGTGTGTATAGTTTTTTGAAACAGGATCTCACTATATAGCTCAGGCTGGCCTTGAACTCATTATGTAGCCCTGGCTGGCCTTGAACCTACAGCAGTCCTGCCTCTGTGTCCTGCATGCTGGGATTACCGGTGTGCACATCTGACCTAATTTTGTAATAAAATGCTTTATGAGACCAATTTAAATTGCTCTGTGGACCAAGAAAGACCTAAGTTTACATCTTGACTTGACTGTAATTTCTGTTGTGACCTTGCACAGCTCACGCATTCTCTCCTTCCCTTCTTCCGTATTTCCCTCCTTCCCTCCCTCTTGATCACCCTTTCTCTCTCTCTCTCTCTCTCTCTCTCTCTCTCTCTCTCTCTCTTTCTTAGATAGGACAGCATTTCCTAGACAG